CAATGCACCACTGTAATAATTTCCAGGGTAAATGGACTGGCAATTTTAGCCACATGGATAATATCCAGGCCAAGGTGGCTGAATTCAGCCAGGCCTGCATCTGACTGAAGAAATCTGTCATACGTCAAAAGACACAAAGATGCACATTATTCCTGACTCCACCCATGACATATGCTCGCCTGCATCCTTTGGGTTATCAAGGCTAATTGTGAGCCACCAAAAATACAGTGACATTACAGGGGGTTTGCATAGTGCTGTGATTTATTTTACTAAAAAACAACCCACAAAAAATTTAGGAAGGAAAACAAAGGTCGTAAAGTTGTCCAAAGCAATCAATCCAATTCTGTTCATGTCTAATCTTTCTTTGCACGCTGATCATTACTAACTTTGTCCCTTTCTGGGCATCCAGCAGGGTCTTTTCAGCCATGTTGTCATCTTATGTGTAAGCCAAGAGAAGGTGGGAACACCCAAAGAACATTATCCTCTTGGAAAGGCTGTAACAGCACTGTAATAGCTCTGCTCATGGCAAAGCAGACCTTCCGTTCCAGATGCATCCCCAGGCAACCACACTGCCAAAGGAATATCTCATATCCCTGCCTTTTTTGGTCCTGACACAAGAACTGTTGCTTCAAACAGTTTATGCTTTTGGTCCTTGCACACGAGGTATTGTGAGCAAGGGTTGTGCCTCCCTGAGCTAACACAAGGATGGGGAGTCCTCAGACTCACTGGTAATAAGTTTGTCTCATGTATTAAAAACATCTTTTAAAACCTCCTCTTTACAAGACAATACCATTAAACTACCGATGCACATCAAGAGGAGTGCAACTCCAGAGGGAAATTCAGTGCTTCCAGGCTCTCTGGGAGAAGGCAGCTGCCTTCTCATCCCTACCTCGCTGCATGGAAAATGTACCCCAAAGGAAGTACAATGTTCACTTCCTTCTGCTGCCTGCTCGTGAAAACACTTGGAAATGCCATGGTCCTACCACCCCCCACGTCCTATCAAGTTTAACAGGCCATTACCATCTTCCTGCTGCCTCCCTCAGTTCCCAGGGGAATCCCACCAGTGACTCACTTTCCAGAAAGTCTAGGGAAGGCCTTTCTCACTAGTCTTCAAAATTCCAGAGGCTTTTAAAAGAATTTCTCCAAAGCCCCAGTGCATACCTTTACCTTCCACAGCTTTGATTGTGTAGCTCTTCTCCACAAAGCCCAGCACGCAGGGGTTGTGCTCCTGGTTCCTCCACCAGCAACCCTGGCTGCATCCTCAATCCAAGTTTTAAACTCTTTGCATACACTTGCTATTTGCAGGCTATGGGAATGGACCTGGCTGGTGGCAATAGCTTGCACTTTTCTTTGAAAAGGTTCATATAGACAGATCAAAATACTGCTGGCTTTTTTTTTTTAATATATTTAAATATGTATTTTTATAGTAAATACAGGACACTGCTTCAAGTCTTCCATAGTCAGTGAAATGAGGCCCTTTTGAAAGATGAATTTGGTGCCATGACCTTGAATCACTCTCTATACACAGAGGAAAAATTGTGAATCTGTCACATAACAACTTTTATGTCTCATACTAGTCCTGTATGGTATTGCCATATACATCTCTATAAATGTAATACAATACTGTATATATACATGAAATCCACAAAGGCATCCCAAACGCTCCTGGGTCATTTCCACATTCCTATACGCAGAGCAGGAATTTCAGCGCTCTCTTGGTGCAATCCACAACAGCCCATACCATAACCTGGCTTTTGTTGGTAGCCTCCTAAAACTCCCAATCTGCATTTATAAAAGCAATTGTAGCCTGTTGCTTATGCCTTTGGAATGGAAGGAAAACCTTGGCTTGCCTCATGCAGTACTTTACCTGGCATTTGGGTGGTCTCAGGCCAAGACTACACAGAAAAGGCTTCAGAAAAAACACCCCATTTAATCACATAAGCAGTGTTTTTCTTGAATCACAGGCACTGGAAATTTTGCCTCTGATTACCAGCAGTCTAGGCTGAACACACACCACAAAAAAGACAGAAGAAAATATTTTGGGGGGAGACTGCAATGTGTCCCCTCACAATTTTGACTTTTTAGGACACTCCTGACAATGTCTGGCTGTTTGCTTTTCCACCAGGAAGCATGGGAAAGCAGAGGGCTCACGTGATTTGAACACCTCCTATGTTTCAGTTTTCTCCTTCTTCTCTACTCTGCTCTCATCTCTTGGGGTTTTGATCCACAGAAATCTTTAGGAAGGTTTATTTTTTCTACCTACAGAAGCTTTACTCATTAATGAAGGGCTCATCTAGTGAGTTGACATCATCATGTTTCCATAACCTACTATTCCCTGAATCACCCTGGTCTTCAGCAGGGATTTTATTTTTTTTTTTTTTTTGCATGATAAAGTCAGTACTTAGATGAACATGCTACCTGTGACAATAATTAGTTCTATTTAAGATTTCTGATTAAGTTTGGATAAGCATCAGAACAGGTTTTTTAACTTACGAAGAATAACTTACTAAGAGATGGAAGCATAAAAGGTGTCCCTCACTTATACTATAAATCTACACCTGCAAGGGGAAATGTCTACAGACACCTCTACTTGGATGGCTAGAGACAGACTCTACTAGGGCATATCTGAAGCATCTTCTAGGGAAGTATCTGTTCTAATGAAGATCAACAAGACTTTTTTACTTCCTCGTGAGGTGCACTGTTTTGTCCAGTTTCCATGTATCGGGTCCTCCCTGTGCAGACACTCACAATCCTGGCTAACCTGGCCAAGAAACACCCCCAGAAATGGAGGTTTACAGCTAACAGCAAAGAGCCATGCAAAAAAACCCCAAAAACAACAACTGTGGAAGAGCACAACTCTCAGCGTCCTGCTACTTTCAGCCACTAAAACATTCTGTTAAAAATCTCAGGGATAGTGCATACATACATATCTTAATTTTCTCATTTTAAACCCAGCCAGAATTAGCACACTGCCAGTATCCAAAGGTGCAGACCTCGTTGCTCTAAAGCTCCTAAAGTTGTATTGCTGTGGGAAAGGACAGGAACCATAAAAAGCCTGAGCTGGGAGGCAGCTTTTATGCCCATGTTCAGGCCTCTAGTAAGCTGTCCCACGAAATGTAAAGAGACCTCCTGCTCAGCCAGGGCTCTGATTTCCACAGCCTGTGCCTGCAGCACTCCTGTATTTTATAAGGCATATTAACTCACCTCTTGCACTGGGAGGTTGGGGCAGTGGCACACTGTCTAATAATGGAACATATTTGTTAATACTAATAGACATTTGTAAAACTACCACACGCCTTCAGCCTTCAAGTCAAAGCGCAGGATGCTTGCTAAGGTTGTGAAATGTATGATGTAAAACTTGGGATGTTTTGGTTACAACATATCTCATTTATTTTTACTGTCATCACCCTCCCTGGTATATAATACCTGCTGCATGCAGAGTGAAATATTGCAGATGTTTTCAAAATAATTCTGGGCTGGTGGAGAAACCAAAAGGTCTCTTGTGCATAAGGTCTGGTTCTTTTCAATTCAAAACAACTAGGTAACAAAGTTTCTGTGTGCTGGTATTTTAAAAGGCCTGGATTCCTCTGAGCTGACTCATACTTGCACTGCCCACCCAAAAACTCACCTCTGAGAACTTTGAGAGAGATTCAATCGCCATTTTGATACCCTCAGGATTCAAGAATGAAGAGTAAAAAGATAAAACTAGTTTTAACTATTCATTAGTTTTTGGTACTTCACATAATTTGTGCAATGGCTTCAGGGGTTTAATTGAATCACTTTTCCCACCTTGTCTTAATTTTAATTATGCAGCAATCATTTTTACCAACCTGTGCAAAGGAGCCATATGAAAATGTGACATATGACAATATACATTTACCTAAGCTCTAGGACTACTCTGACCTACAGGCAATTAGCTACTGCCTCCAGCACTCAAACGACCAATTAAAGAGTTAACAAAATGCCCTCCAAATCACCTACATGTTCAGGTTTTTTGGACTGCCATGAACATTATACTTCAACTGATATAATTTTTGACTGACTGATTCACTAAGTCTGCATCGGCTAAAATTCTAGAGCCATGCCTGTAAAACCAAGGAATCAGGTTTTATGAGGTGCTTTCATTGTCATTAAAGACGATCCCACCTTAGCCCTTTCCCTAACAAGACAATCTTGCAGCAGTCATTACAAAATGTGATCCCAGCTTGTCGTCAGGGAAAAAATGGCTTGCTAGGTCAATGAGGACTGCACTAAGTTCATCTCAAGGATGTAAGACATCCGTCTGAATGGCTACCAGCCAAGAGCAAAAATATTAAAGAGACATAAAGGACCAGTTTTTTCAAGACCTGGCTCCCAAAGTTTTACAGGTAGCCAATTCCAGAAATCCAGAGAGATTAAATCAATAGTCACAAATGGATGCCTTTACATCTCTTAATGGTTTACAGTGTACTAGTGAGCATTTCACTGCAGAAAACAGATCATTAACAGCCAGAACTCCACAACAGAAATTACCCTAGGATGGACAATTTCAAAGAAAAATGCATTCAGATGTGGTCTTGCATGGGAATCAGAGAGATCCAGGACACTGCTAATTATACCAGCTGAGGGAGAAGTGAAGGGTGGTAATCTGCCCAGGAAATCCCGAGTTCCAGTCCTGCCTCCAACAATAACTCAAGTTGTGGTTTTGTAATCTCCTTTCCTCCCTTCCTCAGCTGGCAATGGGGTTTAGCAATAGCCCCTGACACATATTTTATGTGGTGCCATGAGGACTGACATTCTGAAAGTGCTTTGAAACCAGCAAATTGTCTGGGTGGCCCTCCAGAATCTCATGTGTTGGGTATTCTGTCACAATTCAGAAAAGTTCTGCCTTCTGTGAGCAATGTGGTTTCATGATGGTATCTCACAGGCAGAGGTTGATTTGCAAATCCACCACCAGGATTCCACACAAGGAAATCCTGACTCTGCAATGAAAAACACTGATGTAAGAGATTGGTACAGACCTGAGGCTTGCATGCTGATTCTCAGGTGATCTGATGCTGTTTCTCTGAAGCTGACTGACATCACAGTCTTAATGCTTGGAAGAAACTTTTCTGGATTTGAACAGAAAGAGAAGAGTATTACTGGTGTTCCTTCTCTGGCCACAAAGCCCCCAGTTCTGCCCAGATTTACACAGGTGAAGCCCCACTGGCTTTGCAGGGCCTAGGGGATGCTGCTCGTCTGAACCTGAAGGCACACTGAAAAGCCAGCCCAAAAGCCAGCCCAATCTTTTGGATGCCATCAGAAACTGAAGATAGAGCCAAACGATCCAGAATGGAATTTCTTTTCCACCCTCTGCACTTTCATTACTAAGACAAGGCCCATAGGGCATGTTGGCCAAACAGCTTCACTACACAAACATGGTAAGGTGAAGTGAATGGCATCACGGAGAGAAATTAATCAGTCCAGTGACTTAAGGCTACTTGTCTTAAGTCCTACCATGTGGGAAACCAATGTCTGGCAACAGCAACCTTAGCACTCCTGTTTTCCAAGTCAGTGGCTTCAGGGAGCATCATGGAGGTGACACTCTTGGCCTCCAAGGGGCTGGGGAAATCAATATTGGCAATGTGAAGGACACTTAATGACAGTCAAAAAAATGTTTGTTGTTTTTTTTGTATCAGTGAAAGAGACATGAGGGAAAATAGGTAGTTATAAATGGCCAGGTAGGAAAGATAAAACAAAACAAAATAAAATATACAAACAAAATAAAATACACATAAATAAACAATAGTTTATTTATTTACAATAATAAATAAAATAAGATATACAAAAACCTATAACCAACCACCACAAATCAAAAATAAAGACAAAAACCCCAAAGAAAACCAGTAACAACAAAACAAAAAAAAAAAACCCAAACCAAAACAAAAAAAACACCCAACCCACAAAACTCCCAATGCATTATTTTTTTGGCTCTATTTGCTGTAAAGGCCAGTGAAAGAGAGTGAAAAAAGCAACTATTTGACACCCAGAGCTGCTTTGCTTTGAAAAATATGGAGACAAACTTAACAATGAAGAGTCGGGATTCCATAGGGTTGTTTATGTATGGAATACAGGCAAATGCATATGATTATGTAGAAGTGTGTCTGTGTGTAATGTAGCATTAACACCAATTCTAACAGCCTTATGAAATGATAGATTAAAAAAGAGAGGAAGAAAGGAAAAGCAAGCTAGAGGTTTTTTCCCCTCTTTTACAAATATGGTGCAGTTTACAGAAGGATGGTCCTTTTTTAGGAAGAATTCTAAATGCATCATTCAAATATTGTTTGAGCTGAATACATGATATACATATCATGAATACATATAATCACAGCACAGTCTTTTGTGGAAGTTCTGAAAATAGCATTGGAAAAAGCTGACCATGAGTTTCCATCTATGGATTTGCATTTGGTTAACATGTGTGAACCGACTCCATTCATCTCATCCTCAACGGGAACCATCCTGCTGCTCCAAATGGCCAAGCTGAAAAGTTTGACCTGAATGACAGGAATCATTTATGTGGGTCTGATGTCAAGGACAGCACCTACAGCCACCAGGTGAAATTATGGGAACAAATTGGGGAGCTCCATTGCACTGAAAAATCCCTACAGGTAATGTACCATAACAGCTACTGCATTGCAAACTGCAGGCAAAATATGAGGAGCCCTGTGGCAAGTAAAGTTGTAAGTTATCTGCTGATTTTCCTAACCTTTTTCCACCAGTTCCCCTTTGGCAGGAAAGTTTAAGGTTGCTGGGAAGGCTAAAACTTCCTTCTCTCCACCTCCAGTCTTCCAGGATGTAGCTTAGTTTCTCTCACTTCTTCCACTGCAGACTGCTGGGGAAAAAAAAAAAAGGGGGATAAATCAGAAAAAAAAAGGGCAATTAGGAGAGTGAGCTTCAAAAGTCTCCACAGCCCCTCTCTGCTCGGCTGGGAAGGTCTGCACCGAGGGTGCCCGGAGGTCAGAGGGGACATCGCTGCCCTCTGCAAAACCTGTGGGAGCCGGTGAAGCCGGAGGATGTGGGAAGGGTGGCAGGGAGAGCTGAGTGCTCTAAGTAGCATGTTTCCTAGGAAACCTTCGACAGCAAATATCACATTAGTCCTGCCTTGTGGCCCAGCTCATGTGATGTCAAGAACAATTTCTCACAACTCAGCTCAGAAGGTTAGCAAGACTTGGTGAAATGTTCAGTGACTCTGGCCTGGCTTTCCAGCTGGGAGCAAAACATGAAACTGAGGGTGTTTGCATTGTTTTGGAGTTTTGTGACAAATTCATAAGCAAATGTTTTGTTACTTTTTTTTTAAACATTATGGTGGATTTCCCCCATGAGTGAGTTTGCAGAGACTCACCCAGTTGCTATACTGACTGTTAAGGAACTTCATTTAACAAAAGAAAGAAAATAAAAATGGAAAAACAAGCAGTCTCATGGAAAGCCTTAGAACAGTCAGATCACTGTTCAGCTTGTGCACTGATTAAAAAAGCTCCGTCATAGACTTCTGGCATTACAAAACTTTGTTTACAACTATCCTTTCTAATTTCTGTCAGCTGCAGCCTGAAAATATCCATAGTCTAGCAGATTTAACAAAAAAAGACGTAAGCTCTGGCAGCTAAACTCAGATATGAGATGCACTTCAGCCTCCCAAGAGGGCTCCCAGCAGCTCCTTAGTCTGGGACCCAACACCTCGGGATGGGTCTGAGTGCAGAGATGCAGAGTTTTGGTTCTCAAGGCTACACGACATTCTGAGGTTGAGTATTTGGGGGGCTATGTGGCACCACAGACCTACCCCTGGTGTACCTTGTATCTTTCTCCCCTGAATTCTTGCAAATTGGCCTGACTGGAAGGCAACCCTGGTGTATTGTACAGGTAAAGTCCCACACTGCTGCCATTCCTAGTGGTTTCACATCTGTGACTTCAGTGGCATCGGACTTCTAATTTTTTAAGAGAAAAGATACTAAAACTGAAAAATCTTCCTCTGGTGACACACTTCATCTCATACGTAGTGAAATATTAAGGCCTTTCTAATGGAAAGTAATATATTTAAACAAATTAAAAATAGTCCCACTAATTTCTTTTTAATCATAAGCTAACTTAGGTGTTTGACCTCTTTATTTCCTTTTGCTGCTTCTCATCTTCAGTGATTTGAGCCCTCACATCTAGAGGGTTTTTTCCCTTTTTTTTTTTCACTTCCCAGGGAAATAAGCGATGAATACAAAAAAGAACAAGGCTGCTTGAGGTAACTGAGAAACATCAGCGTTGAAATAGGTCCATTGCTTCTTTTTATCCCATTTTAGGTACAGGAGGCCTGATGGATCAGCTTTTCCTTCAGGAAAGCCAGGATTAAGGAGGTCAGGTCAGCAGTGTGAGAACGCCTGTAAGAGCACTGTGGGAACACAAGGCTCCCTTATTAGCACGTTAATGTACTGAACCTGAAGCTCATTTAAACAAGATGGAGACAGTTGAGTTCTCCCCCCTCATCCCAAATCTGCGATGCCCTCAGAGCTGTTTGATCCACCAAGTGACAAATTTCCGAAGCCATGCACTACTGGAAATCTCATAAACTAGAGCAAGTGCAATAGGATTTACTGACCACTGCAAAGGTTTCTCTTAAGATCCAAAAGCAGAGGTTTACACAGGACAGCAAAGGCTCCTGCTGAGATTACAGCAGGTGAAAATATACCAGAGCATTGAGTCCCCTTGACCCGCCACCAGCTTTGTGGGAAAACAGCCCTCACAGATGGAACATGGCATCCGCCCTCACAGAGAGAACATGGCACTCACCCTCATGGAGGGCATGGCACCCACCCTCACACAGAGAACATGGCACTCACCCTCATGCAGGGAACATGGCACCCGCACTTGTGGAGAGACATGGCACCTGCCCTCATGGATGGAACATGGCACCTTCCGTCATGGAGGGAACATGGCACCTGCCCTCACGGAGGGACACGGCACCCGTCCTCATGGACGGAACATGGCACCTGCCCTCACGGAGGGACATGGTACTTGCCCTTTTGGACAGAACACGGCACCCGCTCTCACGCAGGGGCATGGTATCTGCCCTCATGGATCGAACATGGCACCCGCTCTCACGCAGGGACATGGCACCCGCCCTCATGGAGGAACATGGCACCCACCCTCACACAGGGAACATGGCACTCACCCTCACACAGGGACATGGCACCTGCTCTCACAGAGGGAACATGGCACTCGCCCTCACGGAGAGACATGGCACCTGCCCTCATGGAGGGAACATGGTACCTGCCCTCACGGATCGAACATGGCACCTGCCCTCACAGAGGGACATGGTACTTGCCCTTTTGGACAGAACATGGCACCCACTCTCACGCAGGGACATGGCACCCACCCTCACAGAGGGAACATAGCACCCACCCTCATGGAGGAATATGGCACCCACCCTCACGGAGAGACATGGCACCTGCCCTCATGGATCGAACATGGCACCCGCTCTCACGCAGGGACATGGCACCCGCCCTCACACAGGGAACATGGCACTCACCCTCACGGAGGGACATGGCACCTGCTCTCACACAGGGAACATGGCACTCACCCTTATGCAGGGAACATGGCACCCCCACTCATGGAGAGACATGGCACCTGCCCTCATGGAGGGAACATGGTACCTGCCCTCATGGAAGGACGTGGCACCTGCCCTCACAGAGGGAACATGGCACCCTCCCTCACATGGCACCCAACTGCCCATGAACCCCTCATCCCACAGCCCTGAGCCCTGGCTGGCACCTCCAGCCGGCCCCAGCTCACTTGTGCTTTCCTCTTAGGTCAGGTGTTTTCACCTGTCCCAGGTGTTTCCACCATCCCCTCACGCTGGAGGTACATCCCCTCACGGAGGCTGTGAGGGGGGGTGGGAGCTGCCTCCACCATTTCCCACCACCCTGCCCTCACCTCACCAGCGGTGCCTCAGGGGAAGGCGGCTGAGGAACGGGCATTTACTGAAATTATATAAAACATTTACTTAGAAGAAATATTAACAATAATAATAAAAAAATTAAAAGCCATTTCCCTCACTATCAAACTCGGTGCTCCGGTATTTCCTGGCTGACAAAACCACGCTGTATTTTTCTCCCCACATGCTCTCCAGACCGAGGCTCCCACCCTCACAAACACACACACACACGTGCTGCACACGTGTCGTATCTCCCAGACATGTAAATGCTTGGGGTTTTTTTTTTAAAGTTAATTCTATCCCAGAGCAGTAACAGATCTTATAATACTTTCAGTGATGCTTCTTGTACACTAAGGGCCTGAACAAACCAACATTTAAATGCTGGTAATGCATAAATAGCCATATCACCTTCACCTGAGACACCTGGATAAACACTCCCTCTTCCTTCCCAGCTCCCAGTGATGAAAAGCAACACCTCACGTGTGGGAGATGCAGACAGAACCTCTGGGGTCCCTACCAGAATGTTGTCACCTGCTAAGGACTGGGATGGGAATGCAAAGAGCCAGATTAATACCAATGCAGACCTAAATAATATCTCAGTATCTTATAGATAAATGATTTGGAAAGAAATATCTGTTCTTATCGTGAGGAAAGATCTATAACTCACTCTTAGCCTTTCATCACCAGGAGGAAATATACTGCGACTTGCACCAATCCATTATCTGTTCTTATTTTCCTCTGTACGGGTATTTATCTCTCTGGCTCACTCTTTATCAACCCAGCCACCCGTGATCACCCAAGCGCAAGGTTCATGTGGGGCCCAAGCCAGCCCTCCCACTCGAGTGGGAGTCTCTGCTCTTCTCTGAACAGCAAGAATAAGGAGTGTACAGCTTGTTTTCATACTCTACACTACATTTGTCCCTGTCCGCAGCCAAAATCCCATCCTCGCATGATGTCATTTTGTTGTGATGGGACACTGGGTGGATAAAATCTGCATGGTATCGGTCTCAGCACTGTAAATCTGAACAGGAGGGGCTGGAGCTGAGCATTCCCCCAAGCCTGTACATGTCCCAGTCTGGGGTTTTAGGTCGGGCATATTTTGAATTCCAGCTTGTTAGAGTTACTGGCTCATGCACCCGTCTTCCCTCCAGCTCCCAGAGAGGATCTAGGGCTGCTTCCAGCCCTTGCCTCAGTGGTTTCCAATCTAATATTGGGATTAAGATTTGCAGGTACATTTCTCACTCCCAATCCACAAAGGCAGTAACCCTCTTACTTTGCATTTCTTTCCCAGAAGTGCCGAGATCCCTCTTGTGTAGATACGTGTGCCTGGTAAAACACGAATCTCTAGGATTTTGAGGTAAGATCAAATTTCAGCATTGATAGTCACTCATTCACTCTTTCATTCATGGAAAAAGATACACAGACTTCATCCTGCCTAAGTATGAAAGATGTTTTTTTCCGAGGGATATTGCATGCTGCAGCCAGCAACTTGGGACATGTGTCCTTTGTAGAAGATTCCCCTATTACATTAGCTTACAAGAAAGCCTCCAAGAGGGAAAGTGTATGGTTTTTAGTTTGGCACTGAGATAATACTACTACTAATAAAGAGTAAGCATTTTCTGCTATAGCCTGGAAAGAGTTTGCCAAAAGCCAGGGTTTTGTGTAAAAATAGCTGCATGTCCACATTGGTTAGTTTCTCTTGGAAACTTTAAAAAAAAAAAAATAAAGCATTTTTTGATGGCTTTACCCTGCACTGCCCAGCCACATTAAGCCGCAGTAAACTACGTTCTTATGGTTGTCATAACATTTCGCTCTGTGTTGCTTGTGACGCGAATAATCTACTAAGATACATAAGGTGCAAAGTGCTGCCTTTCTGTCTCTGAGTTCCTGTAACAACCCCATGCAATTCCTGCTGG